ACTTAGGTAGTTACGTTTTCTTTTTCGTTCTACTAGGTACGTTTAGTTAGTGTACCTTACTTTACTAAGAGTCGTCTACTATATATGTTATTATTATATATATATATATATATATATATATATATATATATACACACAAACACACACATTCAGAGCTAAATATCAAATCAAACACCAGTATTGGAAAGTTGTATAACATGCAATTAGCTTACACACTACTTAAGGTTATTGCATAAAAAAGTTTTGAAAATTGTTTTCACTAACCCTAAAATCCTTTTCTAACTGAAAAGAGAACAAAAATACATAAATTAAAAACAAAAATTAACCAGACACATTACACGTTTTTCATCACTGCAATTGTTTGAAACAATAAAGGTACAAAACACAATAATACTGTTAAAAAACAAAACACATACATAAAATAGGATTATTATAAAGTTAGCTGACCTCCTAAAATATCCATAACTTGAAAACTAGTCATCAGAAAATAATTGGGTGCTGATGCAACTTGTAATGGTGTTCCACAGTGCTCACTGTAGTTGTAGTGGAAATTAAATGAGTGGTCCTTGTTATTTGAGAAGTAAATACTGAAGAGGGATGTAGCAAGAATCAAGTTACCAAGGGTACAAGACTCGTACAATCAACAATGTACAAGGTCGTGGGTCACACACACTTAAGACTGTATCCCTACATTTTACAGATCACTACTGAATTGCTGCCAGGTTAGACTTTGTACTTTGATTTGTGGCTAGAGTCAAAAATCAATGACACCTATCTAGATAACATGTGAAGGACCAAAAAGGCTCTATGGGCAGGTCAACACCCACAATAGTTAATTTGAGGAGAAAGCAGTTCGTGTGCCTTTGTACAAATATAATTATGTGATACGAAGGTATACATCACCAGTTGGATTCAGAAGCAAATTTGTTATTTGGCCTCATTTCTTTGAAGAATCCACAACAATGAAATGTGGCATTATTCCTTCATTTCTGAGAAGAGGAATTTTGAATAAAACAGTCTTCATACAAGATGGTGCTACAAACATTTTCCACACACACAGCCTGTATGATCTCCAGATCTCACCTCTGTTGATTTTTTTTCTATGAGTCTACCTTAAAAGATTGATTTATTGTGATGCAACCACTATTTTTGACAGACCTGAGAGACAACAAAAAAAACAAGTAACTTTTGGAAACCAGTCACTGTCTTTAGAAGTGGCACCTAACAGGTTGGCTCTGAATATAATAACTTCTCTTTCAAAACAATACTAAAATAATAGTAATAAAAACAGTGCAGCATTAAAGGTTCTGTTGAGGTGAAAAATGACAAAAAAGATGGTACAGCAATGAGGCCTATTGGAAGCTAATAAAATCTTTTAAATATGATTGAGCACTGATGCAATTTGTAATAGTGCTCCACAACATCAGAGTAAGAGTGGATATGAATGGTCACCCCACTGAAAACTGTTAATAAATTGGATGTGTGGATTTTGAGATCAGCATTTTTTAATGATAATTATTTTGGGACTGTAATAAGTTTCCCATCATTTCATTAATTTACTTACTAAATATTATTGCTGTAATGATGGTTACATTTCCAATTATGAATATTAGAAAAGGTTAACTAAAGTTATAACCACAGGCCTTCCAATGGCATATCATGCAAAAATAGGCCTAATTTTAGGGACAAGTCAAAGGAAAATGAGGTCAAATCTTGGGAAAGAAATGGAGCATAATAGTTAAATATAAAAATATTAAAGTGAAATTTTAATCATGTGAATGGCAATTAATAAATATTTAGTAATTAATTATGTACTCACTCAGGAATTGAAATTTATTATATAAAAAGGTTTCTCAGAACCAAGAGAACATATAGAAACCCCCTCGGTGAAAGTTGGAACATGTGCATCAGCCAGATCGTCACTTATAAGCTTTCTACTACAAACAATTGATCTACATATGAAAAACAGTGACCTTTTTCCTCTCCCAAAACCAATTAAAAGTAGGGAAAATGAGGGAGTTTGACAAAAATAGAGAAAAACAGATGGACCCCAAAAGACTAGGAAAATAGGAGATATTAGAAGACCTGTAATAATGCTGTATATATTTACAAAACTTTTATCTTGCAATAATTACTGAAAATGAGCTGTAAAGCTCAGTTTAATAAGATCAAACATAATTTTTGAAGATTCAGAGAATGTTCTATTAGGTTTTATTTGTTGGTAATCTTCATGATTCAGAAGTTTGGTATTTTATGAAAGCTTTTAACACACACTAAAATTTGTTTTACAATATTCAAATATAATATTGACAAGCATATTACCTTTAATTAAACAAGTTTTTTTAAAAACAAAAGAACTTTGTGACCTATGCAACTTTGCTAAAATTAAATCTAGGAATTAAAGAGATAAAATTTACAATTTATTTTTCCTACACTGTATATACATTTCGCAATCCTAGAAATAATTCTTATGGCCAAGCAAAATCAAAGTTCAATGACAACTTACAACATAAAGCTTTTTAACTATGCAAAAAAATAAAATATCAAAACCGTAACTTCAACTTACCCGGCTGCTACGATGTCGTCGTCGGCTGGACGTAGGGGATCTGCTGCGGCTCCTGTGAAAGTCATGGTCACTATAACCACTGTTACAATTTCTGTAATATGACGAGTGCCGCGGACTATACCTCGGCGAATATGATCGCCTTGGTGAATATGAACGGCTGGAACAGAGCACAAATGCCAGCTCTGGATGTGAATGTAAGCTTGCAGATTTTAAGTTTGAAGGAGCTTGTGAAATGACTTAAAATGTGTCTTAAATTTCACTTCAAAGATAGTTTTCATTTTATTTAAAAGAAATTTAAAGAAGTAAATCATATACATTTATTTCTATAAAAGTATTTTTTTTTAGTGATTTAGTTGTTTCTGGTACAACATTGAAGCCGCTTAAGTTCAAAATGCAGTGTTATAACCCACCTAATGTTATCACGAGTACTAATAACAAAACATATTGCACAACTCACATTTGGATCAAACTTTAAGTAGAGTTTTGTGTGCTATTTTAACCCTAAGAGGTCAAAGTATTTGTAACAAGAAAACGAGTACTTCTTTAGAAGTGTTTAACTGGCTTCATAATGTCATCAGTATTCTTCACGTATTTATATTACCATTGAGGCCTCCAGGTGGAGCATATATAAATAAATAAAATAAAGGTTGAACTCGGATCAATGCATAATGACCATTTGTTGTTGAGTAGATGAAAGACTGAAGTTATAAAAATATAAACTTTCTGTCTAGTTGGTTTATAGTTTTTAACAAACAAAAAGTTCAAGATTTTTAAAGAAAATTTTAAATTTCAAGGTATTTCAATTTCTTGAAAATGTACTATACATTTCAATATTTCTAGAAACAATGGTCAATTTGAAAATTGCCTTTTCTTGGTTATGATGGATGCCTATTTATGAAGTTTCTATTATTGTAATTTCAAATTTGAATTAACTGTTAGAGTGAAACAGAATATTAATTGCTTTTATTTTAAACAAGATATAAATAGCTCATGAATAATTAAATTTTTTATTAATTAACAATGTGCCTTGAAACTACATTGCATAAGTATAAAACGATGCTGTAACATTGTGACGATAACCTATCATAAAATTAAATTTATAAAAAGACTGCATAAAGTAAAAACAAATATATATATAATATATATATATATCTCATACCTGCCAACTTTCAACTGAGAATTGAAGATTTGGAAGGAAAAAAATGAATGGTAAAGCTATGCTACGAGGTCCAGGGGCATACTCTAGTCCCTAAGTAAATTTTAAAAACCTAAAACACATTTGTCGAGTTTTGAATTATATTAAGTTTGATCTTTTCCTTAATAAAGACCCTATTTTTATTGTTCCACTGATCAAAAGGTGTTAAGTTAGAAGGCGTTCTTACCCTTTTAATCAATAGTTTACTTAAATTTGAGTTGCACGTCAGAGTTTATGCAGAACTGATCATTATCTCATGTCATCGACATCAATTTCTCAAGGCCTACATGTAGAGGCTGGATTTAAACTTTTTTTTTCTAAATTAATGATAAATCATATTCTTCATAGTCAGTAGTCACATTGACAACCAATCTAAAAGATGCATTCCAAGCATTGATGCACCAATAACATTGGGGTATCTCTGCATATTTTAGCCTCAACAGTTGTATTTTTTTTTTTACCTTGTTTTTACTTGGATGTGAAAGTTTGACCTCCATTACATAAACACTTTGAATCTTTCCACTTAGCTATGTTTTCTTTTAAACAATTTAATGTTCACATAATATTTTTTATGATAATCTTTATTTGAGGAAACAAAATATATTTTACTGAGTAATCATTTGATTGCATTCATTGTATTTTACATTCAAAAATTTATATACATTTTTAAATAGAGAATCATAACTTGGAAATTTGTGAGGTAATTGGAATAGGTGGCAGCTATGTTTTGGTACTTCAACTATTCCTCTATTCAGATTTAAACTGCACCACCCTAAACTTTTGGGATGGAACATTGAACAACGAGTAACAGTAATAGAAAGGATGGCAAGTTCAGTGATCAAATGTCAATATCAGAATAAGTATTCATGAGCAAAAAAAAAAGGGGGTGTCAATTTCAGGTCAATGGGACCAACAGAAACAAAAAGATAGGTATTTACATTTTGTTCAGAGGATACTAGTGAGTACAGAAAGATTTGTGCATATGCAAATAAGATTATTACAAAAAGTCTTCTTAGCATGTTTAACCATTAAAATTATTTTTGAAAAAAAATGGGGGAAAGGGGCCTAAGATCACCTGGAAAAATCACCTGTTTTAACCTTTCATACCACTATACATTAATATGTTGTCTGTCAGTCAGTATACACTAAAATTATAACACAAAAGTTGAATTTTCTCATTATTCACTATTATGTCAAATGCAGTTTTTGGTATTCAAATTAGTTTTAACACAAAAACATTTTCATGTAGTACTTCATGACACATCAAAATATCTAAGCAATACAGTTGAGATGCTAAAGTACGGTCGGTAATCAAAGGTCAAGCGACCTATATGAGCATAATGGTACAAATAACCAAGTAATGTGAATTTGAAAGGTTAACTTCAATATTTCCCTGAAAAGGAGCTTAAGTCCACCTGGCAGAATCACCTGTTTTATCCTCTCGCACCACTATAAATTAATGTGTTGTCAGTCAGTCAGTAGACACTAAAATGACATCACATAAAGGATGATTAACATTGCAATTTGTAATGTCGTTACATTGGTAAAACATACGCATGCCATGAATCACAAGTAGAATTATGCACTCTGTAGACTACAACACAGCATGACATACTTGTTACTCCTAATTTTGGTTTTATTTACTCTTGAGACAGAACACTTTCAGGGAACATGCTGAAGTACAACTAGCATAAAAAAAGTATTTCTATGTTTATGGCTTTGTTTCATTCTTTTTACATGTTATATAATCAATGAAATATATTTCATTTCCTCTGGGAATATCTTTGAGGTCATAAATTAATTGGTATGACCACTTTGTTACTGTTCTTGTTTCGATCATTTTTATATTTTTTTTGTTTTAATGTTTTTTACGATTAAAAATAATACAAAACAAATTTACTTTTTGATCATGTTAATGCCAAAAATGAAAAAAATAAATTTATCATTATCCCTAATAAAACTAAATATTTGATTAATATAAGAAATAGACCAAAATATGTGCAATAACAAAATGATCATTCAGAGTGGCATTTATGACCCCAAAGGAAACCCCAGGTGAAATGAAATTGACTTTATGCATTACAGAACAGGTAAAAAGGATTAAACAAATTCATATACACAAAAAGATTTCTCAAATGTTCCAAATCTACCTCTTATACCACATTCACAGTACTATATAATTCTGTCTCAATGTCCACCATATTTTAAACCCTCCTCAACATGCATTACTTATTTTGATAAGTCATAAAGAACTGCGTGAAAATGCCCTTATGTTAAAAACTGAAGACTAAAATCCGTGGATTTGGCATTTTGATAAATGACAAAAAAATTCCTATTTTTTTTTCTTCTTTTTTCAGAGGCAAATTCCTTTGATTTTAGAAATAATACCGTAAAAGGTCAACATCTTATAATTAAGTAATCACACAAGCTACAATGACTTTTTATAATCATCTAAATTGCATATGCAAAAAGCTTAAATGTTTTTAATACAAAATACATCCTCTCCAAACAAAATGTAAACCTCCACCATTTTATTTCTGTTGATTTCATTCATCTCGAATTGGTATTAAAAACTTCCACTTTTACTACATAGTTCAGTAATATACTACTTGAATACTAGGTGATATTAATTTTTGGTCACTGATCTTGCCAGTTCTCATTTGAATTTTTACAATTAATTACCAAAATAACATCATTTAAAGTCCTGAATTGAAAAGTAAACTTACAGACCAAACAACATTAAAAAAAAAACAACAACCTGAAATCGATTTAGGTGCATCAAAAACTTTTGTCTTAAGTGATTACCATAATTTAAAAAATAAGCTGAAAAAAATGTATGTTGGACTTTACAATTGCAATTGAATTAATTTGCCTTTTACTCATAATAAACTTACATTGAATCACGGTAAGAGCAGATGTTAAATTTTTGTGAAATTTAAATGATGGTAGTATTGTATCCAAAACTACTAAAACACAGTTTTTACCAATTTCAATGGGTCTATGAAATATTTAATGAAAAAATAAAAATAATTCAGTACATACCTTCTGCTTCTCGAGCTGAAATGTACAAGAAAAAGAAGCCAGATGATGTAGTATGTTCTTTAACAAAATTCTACACTGTACAAAACTCAAAATCTTAAAATTATACATTTAAAACACACATTATTTTTCAGGAAAATTGTCCTAGAACATTAAGAACACAAGGTCCCAGACTGTAAGTTCAAAAAATAGCAAAATCTAACTTACATCTGAAACATACAGATCAACTCTGAGATGGGAGGACAATCATCTATCAAAAACATAGAGCATATTCATGGCTGTGTTTTACCAATAATATTTCCAATAACCCTAAACACATAAATCATTAATTATTATATATGTATAATTATCTATTTCCTGAGGTTGGATTTCATTTTCTGTATTAGCCATGAAGCTATATAAATAGAGCAAAAAAAAACATAATATTTCCTGATCTCAAATTAACATTTTAATACTAGCAGAGAATCGTAAAACATTTGCTGCCAAATTAGTATCTTTATTACAACAGCATTTTTTTAAACACATGATTTGTAGAATAATACAAAAAAAATGTAATCGTAGACACCGAAATGTGTAAATCCACTTGTATTTAGGTTGCACTTTATGAAACCTTAACTAATAATAGGCCTAAGTTCAATAAATTATCACTGTACTATGTACGTTTGCTACATTAGCTTAGTTAGGACTAAACTATACTGTACTTAATACTATCTAAAAATAAACTTATAAATATTATTTTAGGACCTAACTTCAGACCTTTTTGAAAACTTCAAGCTTTTAATGTTATTATACTAAATGGTTAATGAAGAATATTTATATCCACCTTCTTTTGTTACTCCTTCATTCATAGACCAGTTGTAGTGACTTGTTCATTGAGCTTTCCAACTATCTGGCACAGGCAGGCGCTTGCACTGTTTTTATGGGTAAAATTCTTACTGCATATGCTTATAAGGCATACTGACAGCAGAATTATAGTATGACAAGATTTAACTGTCTGCGATTAGAATTATTTCATATTATTCTAGAAATCCTGTATTTAAAAAAGTATTGTTGCATTAAAGACACTAAGTTGAGTGCAAATATCTTGCAAGTTTTTACTAGTCTATTATAATAATACTAAGGTTTTGTCAGTCATGATAATTCATGTGCACCTTACTATCTAAATACGGATGCGTGTACAAGTCATTTCCTTAACAGGCAGATGAACAAGCACATTATATAGATTATAAATGAAACTTATCAAATATGCTGATTCTATATTAAAATGTGTTCAAAGAACTCCATCTACATGCTAAAGAAACTGTTCAAAGCTAAATATCTAACATTTAAACCCACTGCTTTCTTTATCAGAACACAGCAACATCATGTTGTATATTTCACATGGTCCTACACTAACAAGCCAGAATTACATACAATAACTTGTAATGCTTTTACATTGACGAGAGTTTAAATATCACTACATTACACATATTTGGTAAACTCAGTTCAGACACCACTGGTGAGAAGGTGATGTATATATATATCAATAGAGAAACAAGCTCACTAGTGTCAGTGATTACAAAATTACATCTGAACACTTTAATGATAGATCTTTTGGGTTTTAGAAATATCATGGAAGTTTTGTACAGTACTGTACAGAGGAATAAAACATCTTCAAGACTCAAACTTGAAAAATAAGTGTGAAACAGCTTTTACAGATAATACACAAAGTACATCAACTTTTAATAAAATCTATCACATACACACTAAGAATCATATGCTTATACCTCAGAGCAAAAGTTTATTTAACCCTACTTTGTAGTTAATACAATAACTCAATTAGCCCTTGAAGATGTCAACTGACTAAACTATTGGCATACTTTTTAATTTTGACTGATTTTATTTTTCAGTAGATCTTAAATTAAGATTTCAATCATATTTTCTGAAATTGTAAGATTAAGAACTTAACCATAAGCTGTAACGTGATACAGTGATAAGTGTCTGATGAACACTTTGGAACAGTGTAAATGGTCAAATAGGTTCAACCTTGGACAATAGATAATTGTAAAAACTTTGTGCTTTTACCTCTGAACTCCATTTTATAACAAACTTTTTTTTTTATATTGGAAATAAAGCAGTTATTTTTACTGTACCTTTTGCCACAGTTTGTAACATTACATATTCTAAATAAAACCATAAACAAGTTCAAAGAACTGAACACCACAGCTCAAGAGTTAGGAAATATCACACCAATAATTATGTCACAGCTTTCAGAAATAATTAGAGAAAATGAACAGAAACTGAACTACCATCTATTTGTACATGTGATATTCTGACATGAATGTTAACTTGTCATTTGTTTGGATGGATAATTATCTTCAATTTTTATTTACTCAAGAACAGACTAAGATGTATGTATATTTTACTGGATACAAATTTATTGCCTTAGATGGTTCCAAAATGCCTATTTCCTGAATTTCGATTGGTTGTATTGAAATTAGTCACCAATAAGAGTTTACTTATTTAAAAACATGGTTAACAAGTTTGCAAAGAAAATGTCCTACTCTTCTGTTACTCTCAAACAGAAAGTGAAAAAGTTTGAATCAATTTTCCCATTGTTAGTATCATAAAAAAATAAAAACAATTTGCAAGTCATAATTTTGCAGAATTAAAAAAAAAAAAATGTTATTATATTATGCTACAGAATTGATATCAATTAGGGCAAATGATAATTAATTTTTATACACTAATGAATTTAATAGTCTCATCCAATTGTTGCTCCTGTATTTTGTATAATAAAAAACGGATATACATATGAAATGTTTCTCTTATGCAGATGATGTTTGTCTATGACATCATGCACGACTTAAAATTTCTTATGACAGACTATTATGTATCTTGTATACACATTCAGTACTTTTATAACTGAAACTTGTTCAAAATACTCTGAATAGAAATAATATAAAACTATACACCCACTAAGTCTTCTCATATATTCTTCACCAACATTTACAGTTCCTTTGTCTGTCTCTCCTAGGGTAGGGTCTCTAAAAGGGCTTCTCGTTGATATGATCCCTTGTCATGATCTCGACCTTGTGTTGTCTGGGTTCTTCTTTCCTAATCTATCTGTATACTGACATAGTAGTTTTTGTTACTCTTTGTTAAGCTTGCCAGTCGGTTCAACACTTATGTTGACGGTTTTGTACATCTCATCTCCACCCAATAGTCTTAGGTCTAGTACGTCTTTATCTTCCATAATGAGGTCACTGTCTTCAGATTCTGCTTCTATGACAACCACATCTGCAATGTCCATCTGTACATCAGCAACTGCATCCGTAAGATCTTCTCTCTCAAAGTACACCTTCAACAGATTGACATGGTAAACCTTAGTCATCCCATTCACTTTCACTTTATAGAGCATTCTGTTAACCACTTCCTGTACTGTGAAAGGTCCTTTCCACTGCTACTGAGTTTGTTGTTGGCTGTGGGTTGCAAGCTAAAACCTTCTGTCCAAACTTGAAATGTCAACCCTTGGCCTTCTGGTTATAGAATTGTTTCTGACAGTCTTTGGGTGTGGCTTCCCCAGTAAAACTGTTTTGATATGTCTGGTTCAATACTCCATTCTGGTCCTCAATTTTGTAAGTCTCTTTGTCTTGTGCTTGACTTCCTCTCGGGCACTGTCCTGAAGTTTCTGCAGGAAAGTGTCTTTCTTCTGCACTTCCTTCAGCTCCAGTGAACCTCCAATCAAGATGTCACTTTGAGACTTTAATAGGCTTAATATCTTGTTTGCTGTTTTTCCTTTGAGCTCTTCTGATGACAGCAAATGCTTCATCAATCTTCTTTCTGTCTAGTTCCTCCAAATTTCTACTACCTGGTATGTTTCCTATCACCAAGTCGTATGTTGGTGCCTTGATACGCATGGTCTCAAGGTCTCCTACATAATATGGAGTATCCACCTTTATTTTTACCATGGGAAACTTTCTCACTGTCCCACCAATTAACACAAACAGGTGTACTTTGCCTGTCATCTGTTCATCAGATACTGACTGGTTCTCACTGCTGCATTACTACACCCAGTGTCTCGTAGAACCTTCACTTTATTGTCCATAACATACTCTTCAGATATTGGCATACTATGATTTGTTGGCACCTTTTGATATTTGTCACAAGCTCCCATCACTATTGGCACTGTTAATCCATTTGCTAATTTAAGCCGACCATTAATTGTGCACTGATCAATCATACTTTCTTGTATTGAATTTGACAAGTAGTCTTGATTCTCTTTCTTCTGGCAGCAGCATCCATAATGCCAGTCACTCTTTTCTTGTTTCTTACCAGCACTGTCTTTGTAAATGGATCCAGCTGCTTTATGTTGAGATTTCTGCTGTTTTTTGCTAGTAATGGACTTGCACTCCTATGCAACATGTCCCATTTTATAACAAACATAGCATCTCTCCTCCCTTCTGTCTATTAACTTCCTGTTACCTTTGATAAACTCCTGCTTCTGGTCAGTCATTACTGGTTTCAAATTTAACTAGATATTCTTGGACTTACCAATTATTCTACCTCCATGAGCTTCCATATACTGATCTGCCAGCTTGATCATCTCATTGACATCTTTTGGTGCTCACTCCTTTAGGAACAGTGACATGTCAGTTGCACATGTGATTATGAACTGTTCTCGCACTAATAGGTCTGCCAGTCCCTGAAAACTATTTTCATACCTGGCCGTGTCAGTCCATCTGGTGAAATATTGCTGCAGATGTGCCACAAAATCAAATACCGTTTCTCCAGTGTGGGGTTTGATTCATATTGTTCATATTATTTCAGTAATGCCACTTTTAACTTGTCACAGTCCATGGCATCTTCTGACATCATGCCTGCATGTACCTGTAGGCCTCTTCCTGTGAGAAGTGGGCTGAGACAGACTGCCCCATCACCTTTGTCCCAGTACTCACTTTGGGCAAATCTTTCATATCTCTCCAGGAAAGCATCCATGTCATCTTGATGTTCATCAAATTTGGGCAGTTGGGGTCAGCTGACCCTGACTCCATTGTCATTCTTGGGTCCTTCTTCCTTCGGGTTGGGTAAGTTTTGCTATCTCAATTTGTGCTCTTATTCTCTCTATTTACAGTTTTTCCTTTCTCTTGTTTCCTTCTTTCTCTCTTTGTGCTCTTATTCTTTCTATTTTTAGCCTCTCATTTTCTTCTATCTCCATTTCTTATTTTAGTCTTTCTTCCTCTCTTCTCTGTCTAGTTCTTGTTGTTTTTTAACAAACTCTCGTAGTTCACTGTCTTTTAACCCAAGATGCTCTGCAATTTCTATCCATTTATCAAAATTTGATATGGTTATATAGCATGATTGTAATCTCCACACTATTTTCACTACTACTACTACTATAGTTGTGCGCATATAGGCCTACTTATTTCAGCTTTCGTTTATGGTTTCTTCTAGCACCATTTATCACTGTATAATCCTGGCTATAGCTTTCCAATTTTCAAAATAATGGAGGCTTCATTCTTCTTAATATTATATACAGTAGTAGTAGTATTTATAAGTAGATTGAATAATATGGATGTTGGGCTAAAACTTCTTCTACAGTAGGTGTCTGACTTATTGGCAATAAATGAAAAATAAATGAACAGCACTCACTCCACTTGTTTTCAAAATTATATATATATATATATTTATTCGGAAATGGTTAAATGTATGTACCACAAATTCTTTACACCATAGAGATCACAGACATATTTTTCTCTCTTTTTATCACCAAACTATCCAAGTATAGTTCACTTACATTATCATCAAGTTACCACAGTTGTATCCTATACTTCTAAAATCATCTGCCTATTTTTCAAAGGCCACTGAGGCTAGTTCAATTACTTTAGAACTCTCTTTGATGAAATAAAGTATTCTTCTTATCTTTTTCAATACCATTAGTCTCACTCTAATTTTTCAACTGTTAGGCTTTCCACTCCTACAATGATTAACTTTGAGAGTTTATATCTTCTTGCCTGAACTCATTCTCATAACTTTACTCTTTGTCTGCTCTTTCTGTTTGTTGTTCCCACTGATTTCACACTATTTATATATTTATCACTTAATCATCTGCTTGCCTTCTAGAAATCTCTATATCCTGAAGATCAATAAATTTCAATAGCCTAAACATCCATGAATTATAAATACAACTTCCAATAATCGTCTCCTTTTAATCCCCTAATAAAAAAAAACTATACAATCATCAACTATTAACTCACAAAATGATTAATTTATAATACCTACACTAAACAGTTTTTATATCCCGACACAATGTTTAATTAACATTCATACTGTTGTATTTGTTTTGAAATAACTAGTTATTGGCTGAGGCTGAAAATGGATTGCTGTAGACACCAGCTGTGTTGAATTAAAAAATTAACTTTTTATGGTAATTAATAAACCAATCAAATAAAGACACAGACATCTAATATTTCTTTTTGATATTGGCTGTTGTTTAATTCATTTCTGATAAAAGATGGAGGGGATTCAGACCCCCAATATCTGTGCCTACTTATACAACATTGAATAATAGTTACTAATTTCTGAAAAAAAAAAGATGAAGGTGCTGTGGTTTCAATCCCTTTGACTCCTCCCCAAAATCCATGCCTGCTTATATGACATTAAATAATATAACTATTAATTTCTGAAAAATACATACAATGGTTTGCCTTCCTAAACCCCTCCACTAGACCTGTGCCTGCTTATACAAAGTTAAAGAATACAGTTATGTGATCATAAACTAGAAACATAACACAGTGTTAAAAAACACAGTAAATTAACACTTTATTTTAATACTTAAATAGCCACAGAGTAGAAGGTGGGTGCAACTGGCTGGTTGCATTCTCTCTAGTCAGTAGTTCAAGATTAGTGACAGTGACAATAGCAAAGACAGAATGAGTAAATGTAGTGATCTTAAAATCACCTGAGATCTTAAACCATAAAGCATCCCACCACATACCCATTATCTATGTAGCTTTGCACTTAACAACAAACAAGCATAATGGCAATATTTTGGCCATTTGGATATTCGAAATAATAAAAAATCCTCATTTCAACTGATTTGCGACAACCGATTTAATGGTAATTTCGATTAATCGACCGTTAGAAGAATGAAAAACAGTAACAATTGGAACCACTAATTTCGATAAGTTGATTATCAAAATTAACTTCATCAATTAATTTATGGGACACTAACCAATATAGTTGCTGCTCATAAGTAATCAATCAAATCGTCCAGCCCTAGTTTAAATATAATATGCACTTGAAAAGCAAAAATCAATTTCAGCAGTAGCTTACTTATCTCCACTTTCTTTCCACTTGAAGCCACTATATCACTAAACAATCTCCTATACATTATGGTGCTGAAAGAACTGCTGCTATCTAATCATGATTATTCATCTGTGTCCATTACTTTCTTTTTCTTTATAAGACTGGCAATTAATGTTAACTGTTTACATTATCCAGATAACAGTACATAAAGGATCTTGGTCATTTGAACATGTGTCATTTATTACAGATTTCACTGTATTTACTCACTAAAAAACATTTGTTGTAGAAAACAACATGCCAATCTTACTAAACAGTATTCATATTACTCTTTCACTTGTTTTTTTTTTAAATGCAATGTTTTAGATTAACTTATAATGTGTAACTGAAGGAGTTATTTGTTACACAGTCAAAGACTAGTACACTGAGAAATCTTACATGTTTATAGAGAAGATAACTTAAATCTTTATTTGGAATATACACACAACCTTAACTCTACAAAAATAATTTATTTAAAGTATTATAGATATTACTATAAAAACTGCATTAACCAATAACATAAACCTGCCACTTGCTATTAAAATTTATGTTTATATTCAGAGAAGATTAACATGGTTAAAACTGGTTACCAATGAGCAATTTTGATTTGATAATTGAAAATCTGCATTTTATAAAGTACTTACAAAAAATTCATAATAGTAGTTCATTCTCACCATTAACTGATTTTCCCAAAAACATAACAGTTTTTCTTGTGCTTTTTCATAATCATGTTCAGGGTGACCTTCATATTCTAAGGCATTAGTACAACAAATGCAATAAATTCAGTAAATAATATGTTTGTGAACATTATCCTCATGTGAGCTGAGTTTAATTGCTGAAAAACCTTGGACTTCTTTAATGAAACATTAAAATAAATGAAGCACTATTTAAAGGAGTACTTACTATCTTTTTCGCTTTGGTGTTCTGGACTTAGATTTTGACTTATAATGGTGGTGACGTTTTCGAGAATATGAACGGCTCCTGTAAGAGTAGAGTAAAACAAGCTTCAATTTTCTGTCTTTTATATCTAAAGAAATGATCAGAGTTGTAACAAACAAATATATATATATTAGTTAATGTGTCCATTTATAACGAGTTTACTTAAATATATTGTAATGTTTTAATTGAAACTACAAAATCATCAACTAAGAAAACTTTAATGCAACAGCTTTCTTTATTATATTAAATTTGTATCTTCTTTTAGTGTTTATAAGTTTGGGATGTCTACAAAAATGAAGACTGAATGAATAAAATACAAAAAATGTGATTCGCTTAAACTAAGACTTGAACATGTGAGACAAGTGACAAGTCTGATGCAACAATATGTGAAAAAGCCTGCAAGCCTTGATATCCAGGGAAGAATACACCAACTGGAGAAGCTGGCAGACTCATCCAGTGAGAGTAGAACGTGAGAAGTCCCAGGGCAGAAACAAAAGATAACGGGAACCCTCAAAAGGAGACATTCGTGCCAAGTAACACTAAACAGCCCAAACCAGACACAGAAAATGATCCAGATCCAAACAAGCATAGAAATTAGAAATTGAAGGGAGGGAAATAGGAGAGAAAGAATTGCCACTTTTTTGAGCTGCCAAAGCATTAGGAAAAAGGGCTCACTTAGGGTACAGGAATAAATAAGTCTGGTGAAAGAGTGCTGGAAGCATGAATGGTATATACATACAAACAATGGTGACCATAGGTGAGTAAGTATGTCTTCAGAGAAAGATGGATGTAAGGTACAGGAAGCCAATGGCTTGAATAGAGCATGTGTAAGAGCATATAAAACCACATTAAGGTCCCAGTCAGGCATGGAAGTAGGACAAGAGTGTCAGTGAAGGAACAAGTGGAACAAAGTGAAGAAAATACCTGGCAGTAATGGGAAAGCCAAAATATGTAGTTGATAAGTCACTCAATAATCACATGATGTGGAAACAGACAATCCATGGTCAAAAACCATGTAAAAACAAGCCTAAAGGTGGGACACAGTAGAATGGCCAGGAGGTAAGGGAGTGGCAGATGGACCAATGTCAAAAAACATGCATCTTCTGTTGATAGACAAACAAGTTTGAAGGATGAAAGGAATGGGATAAGAAAAAGATTGCACAATTGGATAATCCAGCCCTGTGGGCAATGGACCAGACAAATCCCAAACACAACAAGGAAGGGATCACACCCTAGTGTGGAAGAGAGATGTGTGAGGTTAAAGCAAGGGTGAGGAGGGAATAGGACAGAGGAAGATGGAGGCTAGGATGTCAACTGATGAAACAGAGGAAACCAGGGTTAAGCAGGCCAAGGAAGTGCCACCAACTGGGAATGTCATGTATCAAAATGAGGACATGAGGGAAGAGACAAAGAGGAGGATAGGTATACAGAAAAAGATGAGACCAGTCCTCGTTGCGAGCATCGACTGTCAGTGATGAAGGATAAGGAACTGGGAACCAGTTGGTATTTAAAAAAAGTGGCAAAGGCATCAATGAGAGATGTGCCCAACTGAGAGCAAACCCAATAAAAACCTGAGGGTGGAGAGATATCTCTGTGGGTAGTCTGGTATGCTTGAAGAAGATGATCCACCACCATTTCAGAGCCTCCCAGCACATGACAAGCTATGAGACAAACTTGATGAGAATGAGTCCAAAATTGAAGGTCCAATGTGTGGAAGCAAATTCATGGAATGTGAACCCCTTGATAGTTGACATAAGAAACAACCGTGGAATTGTTGGAGTGGATGGTCACCAATTGATCTACTAGAACAGGGAAGAAATGGGAACATGCTCAATGGGATTTGAGAAGTTTGAGTACATTAATGTGAAGTGAACACTCCTTTAGAGCCTTATACACCTGAAGTCAAGTCTTTGTTCAGAGATGCACCCCCACATGACAGAGAAGCATCTGTAAAAAAATGGAGATTTGGTCAGGGGGCAGCAAGGGAATGCCCACAATGGTATTGACATGGTCAAGCCATCAAGACAAATCTTCAAGAAGAGGAAAGGCTCACAATCAAGGACAATGAATCACAAAAAAGGTTCCACTGATTCTACAATACTCACTGAAAAACTTGCGTGTGCAGCCGAAAGGAATGAGTAGTTCTAGGGAGCCCAGGGTCACCAGAAGTGAAAGAACCTTATATGCAGGATGTAAATTAGAAGCACAAATTTTGGTGACAAAACATTCCATTGCTCATATGCAAAGTGGTGAAGGCTGAGCCCAAATGATATGAGATTTGTAGAACATGTCCATATGTACCAAATATTGGGTAGGCATGAGAAAAGACTTGGAATGCTTGATTAGCCAGCCCTGCGAAGTAGCCTCCTACAGAAGAACATAGGTGTGAGAAAGGCATTCCTCCTGAGAAAGGGCAAGGAGAAGCCAATTGTCCATATAATAATGGAACCTCAGTCCCAAAATGTGAACATGGCAAGCAAATGGCTTCATGACTCAATATAAGATGTAAAGAGCAAATATAATACCAAAACTAAGAGCATGGAACTGAAAGACATGATTCTGATGAATGAAACAAAGAAAATGTCTCGAAGATAAGTCAATCAGAATGTGTAAAATAGCACCTTGGTCATCCACAAACCAGGTGAAAAGAACCATCAGATGGAAAAGAAACACTCCATGTTGAATTGCAAGATGACTAGAAACCAATTAAGAGATGACAGATTAATAACCAAATGCCAGTCCCTGGTCTTCCTGAGGACCACAGAAAGATGAGAATAATATCCCAGAGAAGGGGCAAAAACTCTCTTGAGGGCATTCTTGGCCGAAAGGTCTGAGACTGCATCCATGAAAGAGTGAAGGATCAGAGAGGAGGGAAGGAAATAGGAAAAGAGGAGGAAAAGAGAAATGAAGAGAGGGGCCATGGGTAATAACCTGAAGAATCCACCTGTCAGTCAAAAACAAAGGCCAAAGGCTGCTGAAGCAAGACAGATAGACTCCCCCAGACAAGATAGTCATCAATGAGAGGAGAAACAAGCCTGACATCATAAAGTTGCATGATGGGAAAGAGATCAAGAAGCTGAATGGGAAGAGGAGACATGGACTGAGCAGGCCTAGTAACAGAAACAGAAGGGGGAGAAAGATGAGGACTGATTCTGGACCACCTTGGCCCAGGTCACCAGTGTGTTAGGAACATCCCCTAAGACCTCTAGGGGAAGGAAAGGAGCCCAGCAAAGATTACAAAGATAAGAGTGAGGCAGACAAACATTAGTTAGGAGAGCATCCTGACCCAACAAGTCCTAACAGCAGAGAAGCCAAGTAAGGAGAGATAGAACTAAAGTAGTACAACCTAAGATAGTTAAAAGAAGAGAACCTCTCCCAGAAAACCGTTGCAGAGCACTATGAAGTGATTTAGGAATAAGGTGAAGTAACAAATGGTAATGTATGAGGGTAATAAGAAAGAGATGAAAGCATAAAAACTGGGCATCGGAAAGTGAAATAGAAGTTAAGAGGTCCAGCCTCAAACAGGTAAAAGAGATTTCAAAGACTGGGAATCAAGGAATGGAAATGAAGAATGGCTATAAGTAGGACAAAAGAGACAAGTGGACAAGGATGAAGAGGCATGTGAGTACATGTGTACAGTTGTTCAAGAAACGAGTCTGTATGGACCCTAATGTCAGGTGGAGGAGGGAAGACAAAGTAATCTTGAATATGGGTTTTGTGTAATAAAGAAAGGGAAGAATCAAAAGACACGGGAAAAAGAAATAAAAGAATATACCTGCAAAATCTTGTCACAAAAGAAATTAAAAGGGTGAGGATTTTCTTTTACAGATAAAGCTGTACCTAGACCAAACCTTGGTGGGGGAAACAGCCAGTCAAAATCATCATCATCTTGGTTATGTTCAAACTGGGGAAAAGGTAACATCAGCTAAATGGATGGGAGGCCCAGTGTGCATGAGATAACCCACAATTCATTGAACAAGCCTCCATTAGCCACAGATTCTGTGGTAGTAACATCAGTACCATCATTTATGAAGTAGAAGTTACCATCACAAGAATTCATAATAGCAGTTAAAAATCTTTTTGGTAAAAATTAAAGAAACCAGTAAATTCAAATGACAGACAAGTTTCATAAACTATCACAAATCTCATGTAATTGATTAATGATTCTAAAACACTTTTTCGAGACAATGCTGAGGAAATAAATAAAGTCATTATGAGTGCAAGTGCTCAGGTGTAGCTAATGTGCAAGGAAGTTGTATCACCCCCTCCTATTGGTGGAGGGCTATCATTACATGATGATGTCATTATAAACTAATGCAGTTCACATTAACATGTGCTGTTTAGGTGGGAGTTAGTTCAAAGCAAGTGGCATGTAAACCTAAAAGCAGATGTATGAAGAAGTGAGGTATTATTTCAGAATAATTTGTTCCAAAAATTTTGCATTGCAGCAACAGCTGCACAAAGTAACTGTGTGGCAGTTAGTAAAATTTGCATTATATTGCATCAGTATGTCTACCATGCTGTCTTAGGTATACATAATCTAAAAAACAAAAATGTTGAAAAGACTATTTTCTGTAAAAAAATATATTTTAATACTATACTTAAATTACTATGAATTCTTAACCTACAAAATGCTACTGTAAAATGCCTTTCTTCACTAAGCCTTCTCACATAACCTATATTTGAATCTAAAATATGTCTTTTAAAGATAATTAAAAGTGTGAAATCTAGGTTGATTGCACAGCTCAAACATCAGCATCACCATTTTGCCTAGCAACCAGCTTGCAATGAAATAAAAAAGCCAGTTGATCAATGTGGAATCACAAAAACATATTAGAAAAAAAAGGATTTTAAATTTTTAAAATGTCTAAGCATTTTTATTAGAAGTACTTTAAATTTTTGATATAAAATGGAACTGTGGCACAGTTTCT